TTTTTTTTTTTTTTTTTTTTTTTTTTTTTTTTTTTTTTTTAATGCGCTGGGACCGCCCGGGACCCTGCCCGGACCCTGCCCTCCCTGGGCCGCGCCGGCAGGGTACCCGGGCGACCTTTCCCCAGCCGGGCCGCCCGGGGACCAGCACTCATTATATCTATGTTCGTTCCGGCCTGACTTTCACTGGTTGAAATTTTCAGAATTGTGAAAAAAATACTCGTTTTTTAAACTTTTCTGACGTTTTTTCCATCGTTTTTCTCTGCCTTCAAGCGATGACTCCTAGATGGAGAAGGGTTCGGGGGGGAGGAGGAGGTTTGGGGGAGGGGAAGGAGGAGGGGTGGCTTGGGAAAGGATAGTCAATTTCCCTGGTGCCTGACATCAGGCTGGGATGGGTTGGACGGTGTTTATGCACGGTTGGCCTGGGCCCTTGGAGGGTTAGAGAGGGGGACAGAGAGAAGGGGGTTGAGGCTTTGAAAAGCCAGGGAATGCCCAAGGAGGGGGGAAAGGGGGGGGCATTCGCTTGCCCACAGGCTGGGATGGAAGGGGTTCTAGTAGGCACGGTTGAGCTGGGAGGGAGAGATCATGACCACCTGAGGTCTCGTGTGTGATGAAAGATGATGGCCCGGATGATCACCGCTAATAATGAATTGAACAGGCACTCGCCAGGGGTATCCTTTTGACTCTCCTCTTGACGGTTTATTTTGTGTGTGCCCCTTTGTGATGTGGTGGATGGTGGATGCAGGCTGGAGCAGTTCTTCTTGCATAAGCTTCAGGCAGGGATTCAGTCTACATTCAGAGGATCTCAGCAAGGATGACAACAGATTGGAGAAGAAGGGGGGGGGGGAGGATGGAAGAGGAGAGAAGGGAACGGCAGTTACTCTCACTGCGTGCCTTCATACTAGAGTCCCATTTGGAACTGTATATAATCCAGTCGCGTTTCCAACTCATACTGCAGTTCCAAATGGAACTCATGCGGCGGTTCCAAATGGAACTCATACTGCAGTTCCCAATGGAACTCATGCTGCAGTTCCAAATGGAACTCAATACCATCCAACTTGTATAAACTGACCTTATGCGAGAGAGAGAGTAGAAACTCCACACTCTGCTCCATTCCCACCTGGGACTCTATACTGTTCCACTTGGAACTGATAGTACAGTTGTCACCAAGTTTACTGCAGTCCCACTTGGAACTCATGCTGCGGCCCCGCTTGGAATCGGCACTTCAGTTCTACTTGGAAGTTGGAACTAAGTACCACAGTTGCAGTTGGAACTCGATAGAACACTGCAGTCCCACTTGGAACTCGTGCAGAAGCCCCACTTGGAATGCACACTTCAGTCGTACTTGGGACTTGGAACTAAGTACCCTTCAGTCGTACTTGGGACTTGGAACTAAGTACCCTTCAGTCGTACTTGGGACTTGGAACTAAGTACTACAGTGGCTCCTGGGAACTCGGTATTAGAGTTCCAACTAGAGGTTGGCAATGGAGTCCTGCTTAGAACTCGGCACACTGGTACCAAGTTCTACCTGGGACTCTACAGGCCCACTTGGAACTCAATACTAAACTCCCCACTTGGAACTAAGTACCATAGTCCCACTGAAAACTCGATAGTAGACTCCCATTTGCAACTGAATACCATAGTCCCATTTGGAACTCGATGGAACCATAGTCCCACCTGGAACATTGAGTACTAGCCCCATAGTCCCACCTGGAACATTGGTACTAGGCCCATAGTCCCACCTGGAACATTGAGTACGGCCCATAGTCCCACCCGGAACATTGAGTACTAGCTAGGGTGGGGCTAGAGGACAGTGCAGTGCTGCACTGCACTTTGCATGCAGTAGAATATACATGTCATGTCATCACGAAAGAAAGAAAAAAAGACGAAAAGCTAGAGACTGGGAGCTGAAGAAAAGACGGTCACAGCAGAATCTTTTTTTTTTTGCGGCTGTCAATTTGGATCCTTTGCTCCGAAAAAAAAGAAAAAGAAAAAAAAAAGGGATGCTTTGCTCTGATGATCGCCCAGCAAGTGCTGCTGACGAGTGTCTAGCTCTCTTTTGAACCGTTACATGCTTCCGATTTTTATGCGGCGCAGACTCTCAATTTTGAATTTTTATGTGGCCTTTTTTATCTTCACTTTTCATGTGGTGTTTTTTTTTTTTTTTTTTACCTTTTTTTTATGTGGCCTCGAATTCTTTTTGAAGTTTTTGTGTGATATGCATGTGCGTTAGGGTTTATCATGTATTCAGTTTGGAGTCTTGGGACATATTTTTTTGGACCATTAACGAACAAGTTGGCGAAAACACCGAATTCGTTGAACGCGAAATTGAATTTGGAAAGCATTTTTGTCTTTTAGGGTTTTTGACTAGACTACCAGCCGGCCCGCCCGGGTCACCGGTGGCCAGCGCGTGCAAGGACCAGGGAAGGCCCCAACAAAAAAAA